CTTTTGCACAGAATAAATTATACAACCACTATCAGCACAATTGCTTCAGTCATTAGTTTACTATCTTTTTTTAAACAGCGTTTTCAGCTGCAAGGCGCAGAATAAAGATTCAAGACATCTGGGTCATGAAGCTAGTGCTGTCATGTGTCATGGGAGTCACAGCCTGGTGCCAAATATCACCATTGCTCTGCAGCTGCTGGTGCTCATGATCACAAATGGCACTAAGTGGTACAATGCTCTGCTGTGTCAGCAGAGATGAAGAGTCAAAGGAATTAATTCTTCTCATTAGATTATAGTGGCTTACTCCTCTTCTAGAGACTTGTACTTTTATGCCTGTTAAGAAATAGTCCAGAATACCTCAGGACATACACACACCCACAGATAATAACAGAAAAGACTCACCTAACTTCTTGAGAATACATGATTTTTCTGGGCTTAGTGTCCAAACCTTCTCCTAAAAGGAGATCCAATTAGAAAGCCTTACTCACAATCCCCAGAAGACCTGCATTTCCCTGGAAGAGCAATAGCCCTCAGACCAAACACAGAAAATCAAAGCTGTAATCTTTTAAACCCTCACAAGCTTAACAAAAGTACAAGATCTCTAACTTTTTTCTTATGTCAGCTCTACTAACCCCAGCAAATTTTGGTTCATCTGTTATCATGAGATTGAAAGGCAAAGACCAGTTTATAGCAATGAGAACTGCAAAGAGCTAAACATTCCATTCACAATTTTGATCTAAAGCAACAAACACACTTACTGAGACTGAATCACTGAGGCAAAAGGAAATGACAGTTAAAAAGGCAACAAAGGTGCACACACAAAAAGAAGACCATAATACAGCAGAATAATACAATTTGCAGGAGAAAAATGCATCTGCTGAAAGTTATGTTGCTGCATAGGCTTGGCCTGTTTGCAGCAGGACAGAGTTGATACAGATAAGTGATCACAAATTTTCTGGATTCAACAGGACCTCTATTTCAATTTTGCCATCAAAGGTTTAGAAGAATCCCTAGAAGCTTGAGCCACAATCACGAAAGGACTAACATTGTAAAACTGAAGTATTCACCATGATACTTAAGACTTAAACAGTTTGGTTGGTGTTCAGGGATAGGAAAGAGGTGATCCTTCTGGATTTCCAGAATGCCAGAAAAACCATCAACTCTGATTGAGACACTGCAACGCTGGCTAAGCTGCAGGCTTGAACTTCCAGAGTCAGTCCAAAGAGTGAGAAAAAGGTTGTCTTCCAACACAGTAATGCTGGACCCCATACCAGTTTGAAAACTGTAAAGCACATTGCCTATCTTGGCTGGACTGTCCTACCACACTCACCATACCATCTGGATCTTCCAACTGTGTGCGTCAACGAAGAATGGATTGCAGGGGCAACATTTTCCCAGCAATGATGTCAGCATAGCAGCTGTGAAAGCACAGGTCGTCTCTGCTGGTGCAGACTTGCACAAGCACAGCACATACACTCTTGTTCTTTACTGGGAGAAATGCATAGCTAATAGTGGTGACTATGTTGAAAGACAGTGTTTTGTAGCTGACAATTTGCTCTATCAAATAGTGTCATACAGCACTCCTTGTATTTGTTGTAGTGTCTACGGAAATAAGAAGGAGGCACTACTTTTGGAGTATTGACAAACAAAGAAAATAGGCACACAATCTTGCCAGCTTCTTAGTGAAAACATCAAATTTAAGTCTTTCACAGTCTCATAGCAATGGTTAACTGCTGCTGAACTAAGTCCAGGCTGATCTCAGGTGGAAGCACTCCTGTAGAGACTTGACAGATCCAGAGTGTGGGAACTAGGCTAAACAGCTGACTCTGCAAGATGCACTAAATATAGAGTATGAGTGGAACTGTTCAGGGCACATGAAAATTGTTGTGAAGATTCTCCATGGGAACAAAAACTTCCTTTCTCGAAAAGATGGAGGAGTGTTTTCTGGCCTTCAGAATACATGGCTTCCTCAGCAACAAGAAAACATGTCAAAGCAACATAAGAAACTATTAATGGAATCTCAGAGGACAATTATGCTTTCATTTGATCTTTCACCAAAAATATTTTTAAAGGGTGGAGAGTATGGTATATTTGTAAAGCTTCTGTAGATTAAACAGCTTTCAATAACAATCCTGCATAGAACTGCAAAAATTTGTTTAAGATTTAACACATGGTAACATCAAAACAAACAAATGTTACCATGGAGACAACTACCTAAATAAATGCTCATAATGGATCCAAGCCCTGATGTCACCCAGGCCTGCCTGCAACCATAGCAACATGTCAGTATAAACAGAAATATTTTGATTTTTCTGTCTAATAATATCATAGAATTAACAGTTTTATGGCAGTGCTTAAAGCATTCTCTTGTAGTACTGAGTGATAACACTTCTAAAATAACAGCAGAGGCATTTATGTCGTGGCTATTACCATATTAACTACATACAACAAATGAAGTATGTGTATGGCATAGCTAACATACCACATTCCTGAGTGCAGTTGTTGACCTCAACAAAGAAATTTAAGTTCCTAGAACAACATGCCAGACTGCTGGTCAGAGATCAGTAACACCTATTATTAGATATTCTGCTTTCCTTAATACAAAAAACCCTCAAGTTCTTAGACTGTTGTGTTGTGCCTCTCAGTCTTGCAGGATTAACAAGAATGCAGACGCATTTTTCATACTAAATGCAGAACATTTATGTGCCCTTTTCCTGTGTCACCAAAGAGATTGCTTTCTGTAAGGCAGTAAGATTCACTCAACCCATCTTGCAAGCACACTAAAAGAAGCATGACCAATAAACTTTTGCAACTCTGGAAGAGTTGCATAAAAGAAACAAGTCAGTTAATATACAAAAATTTCAAGAAAACAGGCAGTTGTTTCAGCTACTGAAAGGATAACCATGGAATTCCCTCTCCCATGAAAACCATTTATTTCTAAATACTACTGCATATCCACAAGTTGCATGCCACTAAGCTCAGTATACCCAAAATGCATTACCACTCTTAACATGTCAAATACAAAGGACAGATGTCAATATACAATAATAAGTATTGGAAGTGGAAAAAAATTATTGGAGTAAGCTAAAACTAAGATATCTATATTAATCTCCACACTTTACCAGAAAGCCTGAGCTGAAGTTATAAAAAAGTGAAATAATACTTCTGGTCCTGTCATTAAAACTTCAAAACCCAGTAATTTGTAAAATGTTTTCTTCTCATAGAATATAATTGCAACTTAACTTGTTTTCAAGTATAACAGTTAAGCTAAAATATTAAAAATAAATAACTAAAGCATCTGTAGCAGAACAATAAATCAACCCTGAGAAAGTTAGCAAGATGGCAAACAGGGACCTCATACTCAGAGATAGTACTTACTTTCTAGTATTCTGACAAAGCTTGCCATTGTCATTCACTACAGGCATTGCTGGCTAGAAAACAAACTCTGCTAAATGCACTCATTTCCCAGTCAAAGACCTGACAGAAAATTTGTTTGGCCAGACGCAACTGTAATCTTATGCAACAAAACTTTTCTTCTAGTATATGGACTGTGTTCCCTGGCCAACTTCCAGTAGCCACCAACACCATCCATCTCTATGGATGGCTATCAGAATCACAGGTCAAAGTCTGTCTTTGTGAGATAAGAGCAAAGCTGGTGAACATAAAAGCAGCAGGGTTTAGATACCCAAAAACTTAACTCTTTCATTTGGCATGAGAAAAGTACACTGCAGTTTCTGAGGTGCTGGAAACTCTTTTACAGTGTTTAATGTTTTCCATTCAACAAGGACACTAAAAAAAATAAAACAAAACGTGAATTGTCAAACAAAAACAACACAAAAGCCACCCTTGTGCTCTGTTTGGAAATATTTCATTGTAAGATAAGCAAGGAGTTTATATACTGAGTAGACCTTTCTTGATGCACTCCAAATTTATTGTTAACCTTTAGCTTAGAGTTAAATCTGAAACAAAAGAGAAAGAAAGGAAAAGTAGTTTTAAAATACATGATATATATGCAAATAAGAAAAGAGTAAGTAATAAACAAGGTAACTTGTTTAAGGTAACTGCAACAAATGCAGAAGTATTCCAACTGCTAAATCAAGGAGGGAGAGGGAAAGATAGCATATCTCTTCTGAAAATGTCCACTCAACAGCAGCCTGAGAAAATGCTGAACAGGCTCACTCCACAGAAGCAGACAAGAAACCCTGAGCTAAGCAGAGACTGCTGATCAATAGCAGTGTGATGCACTGACATCCTTCTTCAGCTCTAAGTCCCTGCCACCTCACAATTGAATCCTGCATAATAGAACTGGATTCATTTTTCCCCTAGCAGGCATCACAACAGATACTTCTTTAAATCAGCTAATTATCACAGACTCGCCCTATCATTAACTTGCCCAGACACCAATATGAGAAAGTAGTATCAAGAATTTATTATTTCCTGTAATGAAAGAGAATTGAAGTTGAGAAAAGCTAAAGAAATTCTAAAAACAAATGCCAGCATCATACATCATAAAGTCAAGAAAAAAAAAAAAAAAAAAAAACAGTTTGGTGTGACCAGTACCCTGCACTTTAAATATAAGCAGCTGTTTTGCTGGACATAAAGACTATGCATGGAAAAAGACCTTAGTATATAACCCACCTTAGCCTCAGTTCTTTGAGGCTGAATTTTGTCAAGATTTAAGACTACATCCTGACTTCATTCAGATATTGTTCAGGAAACATTCACAGCACTTACTGTACTTTAAAAAAGAAGTTTGATTAGGACATAAAGACAGATACAGGTTATTCCATCTCTCTGCACCGCATTACTCTTCAACACCTACTATGCTGAAGTCAGTTTAACGCAGCAGGCAGAACCTGAATGCAGCAGCTTCACTGAGGAGCATTTAAAGAGACTGTGACAAAGGCATAATGACTCAAAGTCCTTGAGGAATCAAATTTAGATGGTTATCCACAAAACATACTGGAGAGACATAGAAACAATAGCAGAAAGGAACTTACTTGATTTTACTGAAGACAATGTCAACATCTGTGATTGTCACATTCTTCCCATCTATCACCTGACAGTCCTTACACAGCTTAGACCAGTTCTTCCCATGCATTTCTTTTCCTGTGGCTCTTGTATCACCATGGATAGCAAATTTTCTAAAGGCCTCTTCCAGAGCACTTATTTCTCCTGCCACAGCTCCCTCATGGGAGCTATTTGAATCACAGGATAATCGTTTTGCAGCTCGGTCCTTAGTTGGATCTGAAGGAGACCTTGGAGGAGTCTTATTTGCAGGTTTGGTCGGCTTTGCTTTATTGTCAGCCATTGTGCTACGAGGAAGAGGAAGATAAACTTTGTTACCTTAATTTGCAATAGAGTTTACTCACTGTTAAACTATAGGCTACTGTCTGACGTGTCATAACACAGGAGTAAGTGACCCATGAAGATCCTAAGAACTCAGTGCCCTTCACCGAACAACTGAAGCAGGAAAATGACGCTCCAAAACAGGGCACAAACCTAGTTTCACCATCTTTACAGCAGACAACAGGAGAACACTTACTCTTTGCTTCTTTTTTTAATGACAAGTTGAATTTTAATGGCAAGATGAATTCATCAGAGTTGTTCTACTGACTTGAGTGTCTTCTACATTGTAGGCATTACTATCCTTTTTTTTTTTTTTTTTTCCAAAAAATAAAAAGTCCTTTATATATTTTATATATAAAATATAAAAGTCCTTTATACTCTAGTCTTTGGGTTGGGCCCCGGAGCCCCCCTTTTTTTTTAATAATTGAAAAATGCAAAAATATTCATGCTTTAAAGAGATAACAACTAAGGAAGCCTCAGAAATACTTGGAAAAAACTCTCCAGTTATTTCTCAAGTTCTTGCTCAGAGAATTATAGCCATAAAATTCCTTTAGAATTCACATGTCCAGAATGCAGGAGCACTGAGAAGGGACGTGCCTTCTGTCCATCCACTATTTGCTTGGGAAAAACCCTGAGAAGCCTATGGACAGGGTGCACCCTGTGCCTGTCCCAGTAACTACATCTGCTCACACACAGATCTGTGGTGCTGCTAGAAATTTTAATCCATAAATAAGCGCTGCAAGTATCAGAACTCTGGCAAATACTGGCATAAGAGCTAAAAAGCCCACCATACTTATCCTCTCCATCCTTCTGAAATCACAGCAGTACAAGGTAAAGTGGGTAACATATTCAACGACTGATAGGGATTTCTAGTTAACATTTAATTGTTGCATCGGATGGGAAATTTTAGCTTATATACTGTATTTTGATTACAAACTCATCAATATTGGAAATAATTTTAGACTTCTGCCTCTTCCAGTACTGCTTAGCCTCTGTTGCTTGAGCAACCAAGGCTTATTCTTTTCTGCACTTTGCAGAACCAGCCATAAATAGTTATTATGCACCAGTGATCAAGAATGAGGCCAACCAGGCTCCTGAAGGAGAAACCTTCACATTCATAATCTCTAGACCAGACAAAATTCCATGATGAACTCTAGATCATCACACTTCAAGTTAGTCTTACACCTTACACACATAAAAAATAAAGTTCTGTAGCAATAACTCCAATATTCAATCCTGCTCCTTTAGATCTGATTCTCTTTTTTCAGAATATAATAGTGAAATAATTTCCTTGAAGAGTCTCTCTTAATTTAATCCCCAGCAAACTCTCATTATGATCTCTCCAATCTGGCAATGGTACATTCTAACTGGACCAGGGAAATTCCAGGGAATTCCATTTTTATCCTGACACCATCAACAACAACCACAAACCCATACTTCAGGAAGTATGATCAACTTATACTGACAAGAAAACTGCTGTGAAAATAGGAGAGACAACAGTCTGATGAGCATTCTGAATTTCTAGAGATGAGACTTTTAAAGCATCATTAGAAACAACTTTTTAATCAGAACTATACTAAAATGCCTTTGTCCTTCAAAATTGGACAAACGCAGCATGGCCAAAGCTGTACTGCATGTTCTGAATATGGTCAAGTAAATTTTTAAAAAATCTTGTTATATCTTAATCCTCTTTTGTTTACACTGTTTGCGTAAGAACTGGAACAAATCAAACACCAAATTCAAAAATTAAGATGACTGAAATTTACTAAGTCTAACCTGAGACTTACATGTGTACCTATGAAATAATAAAAAGAAGTTCAAAAGAAGGCCAAAAATTGAAAATTAGAAGCTCATTAAAAAGTTAAGCATTTAACCAATTCCCATTTCTACTTCCTTTGTGCCCTACCTGCCCTCCAAAGAACAGTAATTTTACCTTAAACTCTTCCAAAAGTCCCCAGCAGTGAAACAACAATTAATTTACTTACAGTAAAACTTAAGCTAGTACAACCATTACAGATATCTGTTTTCTCAAAACCATCTCCAGATCAGCCAGTAACGTGCCCTCACAGCCTGGAACACCAACCATATCCTGTGCTGCATCTAGAAAACCATGGCCAGGAAGTCAAGGCCCCTCTACAAAATAAAAGTTTACAAACTTCACGCAGGAAAAAAATGCTACGAGGAAGTTAATGAAAGTATTAGGCCTTAAGGTAGTTTACTTCTACAGTTAGTTCCTTCAGACATCAATAACAGCACTGGTGTATTTTGAGGAGTTCTGGGCAACATGAAGAGAGGAACAACAGGACATAAAAAAGGCTTCCATTTTAAATGAAGATGTCTGATATTCACAGCGGTCTCATTTCAAAGAAATCTTCACTAGCAAAAGTAGAAAGTCAAGGCAGATCAAAACTGGTGGTGTACTTTTTCCCTGTGGCTAGAGAAGGTTCATGGATATACTCCTTTTCTTGTTGAACTGACAAAGAAACTGGCTACTCTAAAAATATCAATTCTGAACTCTGGTTAGACAAAATTAAGTTACTTTTTTAAAAGCATGAACTATATAACAGTTACAGTTAAACAAAGAAACTCTTTTCACCGCTGTTTAAAAAGCCCGGCACGCAGTTAAACAATACTACATTTCCAGAGACAAAAAAGGTAGGGAAGGAGGGATTAGCCACCTATCCCATCCCCTCCAAATATTGCTGGCTCCAATCTAGCACGCTGTAGAAGACATTAAGGAGAAATCATAAGCAGATGTTAAGAGTTCAGAAGGTTTTGTGAAAAGCAAAAAAAAGTCCCAAAGTTGGGATTCCAGAAACACACAGAACAGCTGGAGTAATTATAGGAACATTAAGAGGGCATGTAGGGATGCAATGAGGAAGCTAGGGCCCAGTGGAATTGAATCTGGCATGGGAAATCAAGGACAACACGAAAGGCGAGCCTATAATTACAGGTGGGACATCACAGTTTCACCATGTCAATAGCAAAAGGAAAACTATAGAAAATGTGGGCACATTGCTTAATGAGGTGAGTGCTCTGGTTATGGAGGACACTTAAGAAGGCGGACTTACTGAATGCCTTCTTTGCTTCAGTCTTCACTGCTGAGACTGATCCTCATGAGCCCCAGACCCTGAAGAGAGCCTGAAGAAAGGGAGACTTCCCCTTGGTCAAGGACTATCTAGTAACAGATCATCTAGGCAAATCTGAGGCGCAGAAATCCATAGGCACTCATGGAATGCACCCGTGAGTACTGACAGAGCTGGTAGAAGCAACTGCCAAGGCACTTTGAAAGGTCATGGAGAATGGGAGAGGCGCCTTGGGACTGGAGTAAAGCCCACGTCATTCCAATCTTCAAATACAGCAAGAAAGAGGAGTTAGGAAAATACAGGAGAGTCACCTCACACACCTCTGCTCCACGGGAAGGTGATGAAACAGCTTATTCTGGATGGTGTCTCCAAGCAAGTGGAAGAAAAGAAAAATATCCCAACTCCTACAGTTCTGTAATTCACCGAATGACAAGTAGTTAAGATGACAACAAAAGTCCTATGAACTGAGGAAAACTTTCAGTTCAGCCAGCCAAGAAAAACCGGATTCTGCTATGACCTCAGAAAGGTCATAGCTTTTCTAGTATCTTTGATCATGTCAAACATTCTAGTGAACACTCAAGGAAACAGCAGCCCCAAGTTTACTGGTTTGTTGAGAACTATAAAATAAAATTGGGACTTAAAAAAAAATAAATAAATAAAGATGTGCTGGATAGATTCTTTGCAATTCAGTTAGCAAAGTCAGCAAATTGCACTAAGTACAGAACTACAAAAGAAAAATTAGAAATACTTAAGGAGAGCTAATAAGCAGGAGGGGGATTGAATTGTTACACGGGTAGACAGTGATAAGGCAAAGGTGAGATGAAAGAAGGATAACGTGCCCTTGTGAAATAAGAAAAAGAACAGGTTAAACAAACATCTTTCAGGCATATGGCAGGAGATGCCAGCTTAGCACAGGATGTAAATCTATTTTGCTGGTCAGAACAATGTGTGATAGACTTTGCAGGACACAAGGAAAGTTCTAGATGGGCAAAACAACAAACTCTGCACCCAGATTACAATGTCTAAATAAAAAAAAAAGCACTGGGAACACTGTTTATAAAATCAAGTGGCTCCAAGCCCTAAGCGTGACTAGGTTGGAACTGCTGCAGGATGGCAAAACCATGATCCCTCTGTGGTCCAGGATTCCTCCACCATCATCCTCTTTCTCCAAGAACTGAGTGAGTGACTCATGTTCTTTTACTTAAACCTGAGTCTAGTTCATAATTCTATCATGAGCTGATTGGTCAAAATTCGGCCCAATTTGCAGAGGGTCTATCTGGGTGGCTGAAAACTCAGAAGTCTAGAAATTCTGAACAACTACAAGATATGCTAGGTGCCAGAAACTGTACTTAGTATGCTATGCTATTGATTTCTTTTTCTGTAACAGTAAATCTCCATCAAAAACCGTAATCCTGCAGCCAACCCTCGTTCTGCCAGGGGTCTCAAAAGAACCTTCCTGGCCTCTTTACTGCCAGGTGACACCTCTCCACACCTACATTCTAACCCGTTGGGTCCTGCCCAAGCTACAAGAATTCCTAAAGATATTTCTTAGATGATCTTAAAACTGAAAGGTTTTAGAAAGGCTTTTAGAAAATATTGCAAAGAATTCTGTCCACAGGCACACAACAGCTTTATGTTCACTTCTACCTGTTTTCACTTCCATCCTCCTGTTATTACTTCCTGCACATATTGTTGGTAAGCATGCAATTGCTTAAGGCATACTTTTTATCAGGATCTGTTACTGTAATAGTGATGACACTTATGCAGCATACCACAGAAACGTATCATACAAAGTTTGTGAAGATATCCCATTCAGTTCGATTTTTAAAATATTTAAAGAGTTGCAATCTTTATATGAATAAATTGGATTTGTAAATGTTATCAAACTCTGTAAACCATCTGAATTTATATGACTGCATCTGTTTTATCTCAGCATTTGTTCTATCTTCCTCATTATTTAAAAATGACTTACAGTTAAAGGGAATTGTCATTTATTTTTTATCTGTAACTATTTATGCCAAATGAAAACAGCAATGAAAGTGCAGCAGATGGAATCTTTTTCCCACATTTTTGTATAAACATTCAAGCTGAGGGAAGAAATAAACAGCCAGAGTAATAAAACTGCCCATTAATAAGGTGCAGTGTTTTACATAATGTTAAGGCTTAAACTTTCTTCATGTCTATCAGTGGCAATCAGAGTTCACTCTTCTTCTAATTCTGCTTTGGGCATATTTCTGCAGACATGACAATGAACCACCCATTTTCCCCAGTACTGAAGAGACAAGCAGTAAACACTAAAGACCAAGCATTGCCAAAAACTCTAATTTACTTACCTTCACTTAGATAAAATTAAATCCTCTTACAGGCTTAATGAGTAACCATATTACCAAACCATGAGTTCTCTTTAACAGTATATATGTATTTAATGCTATGGACAGGATTCCCTATATCATGAAGCTGCATTAAGAACTTCAGCTGGAAACACAAAACACACTAATCTTCACAAAACAATATGTCAGACTGCCAGATTAACCTGGCAGGCAGCTAAGCATCATTCAGCTGCTTACTTGTTACCTCCTTCTCCACCAAGTGGGTAAAAGGAGAAAACTGGAAACAAAAATGAAGAGAATTGAACTGAGACAAAAATCTATTTACTAAGACAAATTAAAAAAAAAAAAAAAAGAAAAAAAAAAAAAAAAAAGAAAAAGGAAATACACACACACAAGGGCTGCTCCAAAAGTTACGCTGGCCTGTGGCATCAAAGGCTCACGTCGGTGGTATGGCAGTAGAGGTTGAACCTTTCAGCCAACATTCACTTCAATTTTGTTGTTCTGGTACAGATGTTTTATCTACATATAAAAACCAATTAATACCTATTGGTACAGTTCTAAATTTTAAAATGAACCTCAAAACTCACGCAAATAACTTCAGGAGTGATACCTGAACGTGTGCAGTTGTCAAAGTACTATTTTCATATGTATGAAGCAATAAATATCAGTATTATTAAATTCAAAGAAACAAATTATATTTATGTGTGTATATCCACAACTCAATTACTCACCATCCTTTGTCCAACTGCAGCTAACAACACAAGTGCCCACCAACTGACAACCCAGTATCACACCACATGCCAAACAACATCCAGCCAGCCCCCAAGCAGCAGTGAGCCTGCAGCCAACTCAAAGACTGTGAAAGAGAGACAGCCACACTCTGCCAACCCTGCATGAAAGAAACCTGCAGGGGTTTCTTTCCGTGGAGGGGGATACTCCACCAGCAGTAGTGGATCCCCTAGGCTATCACCATCAGGCAGAAGGAAGGGGCCTAAGAGACAAGAGTGGAAACGGGTCCCTCTTTGGGGTGGCAGGCAATCGCCTCCCAGCCTACCTCACCTTCCCAGGTCCCCTTGCACAATAGGTATGAAGCTCTGGAACATGAAGGACAGGCAAATGAGTATGCTGATGAAGGTCCATCCATAGGGTTGCCTAGGGTGAGTCAGCCACTCCCACTGCCTCTGCCAAGAACAAAACAAGGTAATTGTCATAGGCACCTCCCTTCTGAGGGGAACAGAGGGCCTGATATGCTGACCAGATCCTATCCACAAGGAAGTCTGCTGCCTCTCTGGGGCCCAGGATATTGCCAGGAAGCTCCCTAGCCTACTATTGCCCTGCAATTACTACCCGATTCTGGCAGTTCAGGTTGGCAGATACAGTCTCGAGTAGAAGCCTGCGGGCTGTCAAGAGGAACTTGAGAGCACTGGGGTGGTTTTCTTGAAGGAGCAGGAGCTCAGGTGATCTTTGCTTTGATCCTTTCAGTAGCATGGAAAAATACTAAGAGAAACAGGAACCTGATCAACACATGGCTAAGAGGTTGGTTTCATTGGAGGAATTCTGGTTTTTTGATCATTATTTGGAACCAGATTTGCTGGCAACAGATGGCTCTACCTATCTCAAACTGGGAAAAAGGATTTTAGCCCAGGAGTTAGTAGACCCTGTTGACAGGACTTTAAACTAGGTTTGAATGGAGAAGGGAATAAAACCAGGCTCACTGGAGATCAGCCTAAGGAAAGCATGCCTAGATTAGGTGTGAGAGCAATAGCTGTTTGGGACATTAGCTAAGAGAATTCCTTGGGAGTCAGTCTTGAAGGGAAAAAGGGTACAGAAAGGCTGAATATCACTCAGGAAGGAAGTCTTTAAGGCACAGGAACAGGCTGTCCCTGTGTGCCATAAGATGTGCTGGCAGAGAAGACAGCCAGCCTGGTTGAACAGAGAACTTTCATTGAGCCTCTGAGGAAAAAAGAAAAAAAAAAACCACAACAGTTTATCATCTTACAGAGAAGGGTCAGGCAGCTCCAGAGGAATAGAATGATGTTGCTTGGATACAGAGAGGAAATCAGAAAGAAGAAAGCCCAACAAGAACTTTATCTGGCCACTACTCTTAAAGATAAAAAAATGTTTTCATAAACACATTAACTGCAAGAGGAGGGCTGAGGAGAATTTCCTGCCTTTATTGGCTGCAGCGGGTAATAAAACCACCAACGATAACACTGAGGTTCTCAGTGCCTTCTTTGCTTCTGTCTTTAGTAATCAGACCAGTCATCCTCAGGGTATTCAGACCTCTAAGCTAGAAGACATGGATGGGGAGCAGAATAAACCCCACCATAATTCAGTAGGAAACAGCAAACTGTCACCCAGACTGCCACAAGTCCACGGGGCCAGATAGGATCTGCTTGAAAGTACTGAGGAAGCTGGTAGGAGTGATTGCACAAACTCTTTCCATCTTCTATCATCAATCCTGTTCAACTGGAGAGATCCCAGATGACTGGGACTTGCCAGTTTGACGCTGATCTACAAGAAGGGTTGAAGGAGGATCTGAGGAACTGCAGGTCCGTCAGCCTGACTTTGGCATCCAGGAAGGTCATGGAGCAGATCATTTTCAGTGTAATCACACAGCCTGTATGGGACAACCATGCAATTACACCTTGCCAGCATGGGTTCATGAAAGGCAGATCCTGCATGATCAACACAATATCCTTCTGTGACCAAGAGACCTGACTGATGGATGAGGGAAAGGCTATAGATGTAGTCTACCTAGACTTCAGTAAGGCCTTTGACTCTGTTTCCCACAGTATTCTCCTGGAGAAGCTTGCACAAGTGTACTCTTTGCTAAGTAAAAACCTGGCTGCTGGGCCCAGAGCGTGGTGGCAAATAGAGCTGAATCCAGCCAGCAACAGTAGTGGTGTTACCCATGAGTCAGAATGGGGGTCAGCTCTGCTTAATATCTTTACAGATTACCTGAACTGAGGGGATTGAGTCCATCCGCAGTACGTTTGCAGATGACATCAAGTTGGGAGGAAGCTGGGAATCTGCGTGAGGGTGGGAAGGCCCTACAGAGGGATGTGGATAGGCTGCATCAGTGGGCTGAGGCCAACTGCATGAGCTTGACAAGATCAAGTGCTGAGTCCTACTCTTCAGTCACAACAACCTCATGCACCCGTGCATCACTGCCAGCTTGGAGCAGAGTGGCTGGAAAGCTGTGCAAAGGACCTGGGGGTGCTAGCTGACAGCTGGATGAACTTCAGCCAGCCATGTGCCCAGGTGAGCAAGGGGGGCAATGGCATCCTGCCTTGTAACAGTGTAATCAGCAACACCAGGGAGGCAATCATCTCCCTGTACTTGGCACTGTGAGTCCACACCTCAAGTGCTGCGTTCAGCTCTGGGCCTCTCACTACAAGACACTGAGGCCTTGGAGTGCATGGAAAAAAAAAAAAAAAAAAAAAAAAAAAGAGGAGCAGCTGAGGGAATAAAGTTTAGAAAAGGCTGCGTGGGGTAACTTACTGCTCTCTACAACCTGAAAGATTGGTGAGGTATTGTAACAGGCTGCCCAGGGAAGTGGTAGAGTCCCGGTCCCTGGAAGTTTTCAAGAAAAGGGTTGATAGGGCACTTAGGAACACGGTTTAGTAGGCATGGTGGTTCTGGGTTGATGGTTTTACGAGATGATCTTAGAAGATATTTTCCAACCTTAATTCTTCTATGGTTCTATGAATTCTCTACTGCTACATAGCCTTCCACGTGATGTCATGTTATGGAAGAACTTTGTGCCATATTCAGGTCAGCTGTCCTGGTTCTGCCCTGTCTCAAGCCCATCACTGCACCAAAAAGGCAGTGGCTCTTCCCCACCACGTGGCCTGGCCCGACATCAGGCAGGCGCCCATCACTCACCAGCAACCAATGTACTATTAACACTGTCTCTCAGCTGAAAACAAGACACAGAGTGATGTTAAATACTCCATTAAGAAAAGCCTTAGAGAACACAGTCAAGCACAAACATTACTTTGTCTACAGACAAGCAGCTGTTACCATTCCTTTTCTGAAGCCATCACTATCTGCTTATGTAATTACTGCTAAAATATCATCAAATACTGAAAAAATTAAGTTTACTTTTGTAGTGTATTACATTTCTCCATTCCAGAGAATACCTTCATAAAACACCACTTTATACTTAGATACATAAAGCATCTATATGCATGTACACAAACTATTTTCTTGGTAACAGTTCCAATAGAACCTTTTTTAAAAACACATTTCACATGACAACACTGTTATGCAAATGTTTTTTGTCTCCCTAAATTATTCATAAATAGCTCAACAAAACACCCACCATATCCCACCACCACATCCTTTACATAATGCTTCATCTACGAAGGAAGCAGCATCAAAACTGGCATTGTTCAGATATTAATGCACAGATAAACTACTACATCTCTCCATTTCCCTCCCCCCTCACCCCACTCTCCATACCCAACTGTATCACATATGAAGATCCCACTTCATCCTTAGTTCTGCTGAGCTGCCACTCATTCTCAAATGAAGAAATAATTAGGACACATATGCAAGGATACAAGATAGTATCTAGAACAGTTTTCACAGAATAAAGTATGACGCTTCTCAAAAGGCTGAAAGAGATACTCACACTGTTAGACAACATAATTTTTTACAGCATATCAAGAAAATACTTGGGAATCACAAATCCAGAAAGACTCAAAAACAACAGCTACTTCCCCAGGAGTCAGCTGTATAACTTATATCTCCAAAGAACATGTTGAACCTATTTTCACTGTAAGATTAGTTGAGCACAAGTCCTCTAACTTGCATAAGCTAGCTCCACAACTGTGAAATTATACTATATACATAGTTCTTTACAAACTATCCATCATTTCTTCCCATCACTGTCATCCAAACAAGAATACTAATTTGAACTTCAACAGGACCTTTTCAAAGTATGTATGTAAAAACCCCAAGTCATAAAGATCTGCTCCATGAAGGAGATCAGAGACATACAGTTGGAAGATCACTTCAAAGAATAGTAAGATGGGTAGCTCTGTATAAATAAATAGGTAAAAAATGTCAAGAAAGCCAAGTTGATGGTATTGACAAGGATAAAATTTTAATCAGAAAAAAAGTAGAACAAAATTATAGGGATTGAAAGTACTCAGACTTAAAAGCCACAAAACATCAGCTATGATCAGGGAATGGAAGATGGTGCAAGAACTACAAAATAACAGAAGGAGACATCGTATAAGAGATAGTTAATAAATTCTATAAAGGTAATGTGTCAGGGGAAAGAAACCCCTTAAATAAGGTGTACAACTACTCTTGTAGAGAAACTGCATTATTAACAAAATGGCTCTTTATTGTCTAAGATACCAAAAAAAAAAAAAAAAAAAAAAACCCTCAACAGTTTATGCTAATTTAAACTAGAAAAAAAACTTTGGCAGAAACAATCAACAAGTGGAAATGCTACAGGTAACATCTTCTACTAATCCAAGAAAAGATATGGAGAAGGCCTTTTTCTATTGAAGGTATATTTGTTGCTCTACATCTTTCGTTGATTTGGGCACGTGAGGGAATCGAAAGGAAGGAACAAGAACAGTTCACAGGAAATACTTGGGAAAAGGCAGTATGATTTTCCCTGCATTGTGCTTTGACCCTGAAATGAAAACTCAGTTTTAAAAGAAAATTAAAGAAAAACTCCTGACCTTAAATTTAAGGTAAAAATTAAGTTGCCTAAAGAGAAAAATTTTCAATTTGGGTCAACGTAGGCTTTTTTTTGTTTGTTTTAAGTAATTGTTGTCAAGTTAAATATATTAAAAAATCCTCTCAAAACCAAACCATGTGTCACATGTCTGAAAGATGCTCTGGTATCCCAGGGGACTCTTGGAGACAACTGTGTGAACCTTACGTTAAGTTTGACCATTTCCCTTGCTCTAAAATGTAAGATAAAACACGTAGATAAAAACATAGATAAAATACATAAACCCATGCATCCTAACAGCTGCATTCCGTTTTTTTCTACTACTAAGAGCATTCTGTTCCATGTTTTAGATCATAATATTCTGGAGGCCAGACCCAAGTTCATGTTCAATAGTTTTATTGTCATACAACAGTTGACGTCCCTGATCACAGCTCCCAGACACAATGGCAATACAAATTATAAGCAAGAATCTCCTTTCAACTAACTGGCAGGGATATCTAAAAGCATTTAAAGCCAGGTACAGTACATAACTTATTCTCTTCACAGAGAAGACTTTTCCTTAATTGCACAGAGAACTTCCCCACTGAGAAGCAGAGAAATACAAGAATTTATCAGTCCTAGACACTCAAATGTGTATATAGCAAAACTGATCTTAGTTACTTTTTAAAGCTTCCGAAATCCAACATTTATGTCAGTATGGCAAAAAAAGGACTAGGGGCAAAGATTGTACACTTGCATTTATTTTTATTTACGCAGAGCATAGAAGTTGTCTCTAGAAAGAAAAAACACCCTGCTTGTCATTTGCTGAAAAGAGTTCATTTAATTTATGCAAGGGCATAAATACACAAGTAGAAACAGCAATGAAGTAACTACACCAGAAGAAAGACCATTCTTGCAACAAGCTTTCCCTGTCTGGAGCAATACAGGCTTATGAGTACAATCACATTCTCACACAAAAGACTTCCATTATATATATATGTGTATATATATATATGTATATACACACACACACATATATATATACACACATACACACATATATATATGGCATGAAATATATCTTATGACTTATTTTAATTTGTATCTTAGCTTAACATCAAGAGAAAGTTACCAAATTTAAATGTCATATGGCTTATTCTGTAAAGCACTCCTAGCTGCAGTAAGTACAACTTATCATCTCTACATACACTAAGAATACATTTACTTTAACATCAGTCAACACTGCTGCCTGCCTCCCTCCCTCTTGAGAGCTTTTTTTTTTTTTTTTTTTTAAAGTTAATCTCAAGGTATAGGAAGTAAAAAACAGCCTCTTATATACAGCTCCTGACAGTAAGTAAATGGAGCTATGATTCAAATAAAACTTTTTTTTTTTTTTTTAAACCACAGCCAGTGCACTGCTTTAATTAGGTAACTACTTACTAGACGAGCATTCCCATTTATTTACAAGGGAGAAATGTATACACTGTGGGAGATTCTCACATGAGCTTTATCTGACATTTGATCCTTGCATGGCACGTTGCCCAAGCACTGCACTGTACTGTGATTTAATAACAGGCAAACGCTCCAACAGTTGTAAGTAATGGACTGCTTGCAGGTATATGACTGTAACCCAAGAGATAAAAGCATGCAATATAGCATTTTATTTAGGTTTTGGGAATAGGAAGGCTGTGAAAGGGAAGGATCTGTAAATAACAATTTGAAAAGAAAGTGACTCGTCACTAAAGGATTAAAAAAAGCCATTGCCATTTTAGGACTATATGTATACACAGTATACATCTGGTAAACAATCACATTAATTTAAGCCTGAGACTAAGAGAGCATATCTTCCCATTTTTTCCTCCACATTTTCACAGCTCTAGCTGAAAAGAGGAAAGAAAAAAACAAGTCTCCAGTCCTCTATGCTCCATTATCCTGCTATCACTTGTCAGCTTTCTAAGCACTCTAAAAGCAGGCTAATTATACTAGCTGAGAAAATAGCGTGAAGGCTCAATAAAAGTGAGTGAAAATGCACCCATTTACTGCTTCATACAATTCAAACTTGTCTGCATTGCATTTCATTTCGGGCCAGGGGCTGATTCTGACCTCTTCTTTTTTTTTTAAAAAAAAAAAAAAAAAAAGCAGTTATGCAAGCCTCTGTCCGTAAGAATTTCCCCACCACACACCTGCCTATGTCAATAGGTAAACTGCTTGTTAGCAGCACCTACTGCAAGATTCAAAGCTGTCAGCCTCCAAGATACTTTTCATGTAAGCGTTCAGCATCTTCCAGCAGATACCCAATTTCTCTGATGAATAACTCAACCATGTGACTAACCAGGATTGAAGACATACTTGCAACCACTGCTGATTTGCTGGCGTTGTTTTTATCCATTTTAAAGTTATTTCACCGAGGCTGAAGAGAACTGATTAATTCACGTTATGCTGCTGCATCCAGTTTTTTACCCTGGAATCCTACACTCAGCTCTATACCTGCAGGTTGTTACGCTGCAGTCCGTAAACAGCCTCCTAGCCCAGATGCTGTTTTTCACGGAGGACACCACACAGAGGTAGTTCTCAGCAAAGCCCCTTGGGCATTTTGAAAAAAGCAAACACAAGTCCTTTACCGATCTCCACAAAAGCGGTGGATCACTTGCTCTACGCAAGAATGCAGAAAAGGCAACTGCAGGGGATGAGGTTTTACTGCTGTCTTCAATAGAACATCGGCTCCAAAGCACAGTGGAACAGCAATTTACTCGTCTGCTTTCTCCTGGCGCCTTCAGGAGATAGATGCGTGCACTCAGACCTGAGCTAGCCAGCTACCCACGGGAAGCCGACAGCGCTGTCCTTCCACCCAGCTGTGAGCGCAGCGTCCTCGGGATCCGGACAGCAATCCCATCCTCCGTCGGACGGGCTGCTGCTGCGCTTTTCCACTCCCGTGCGGCTGCGGGAACCCCCTGAAGATGCGCCTGCTTGGAGGCCCCATCCTAACCGGAGGGCAAAGGGAATAAACGCAGCTTCGCATAGAGCCCCTCTCCTCGCCCCTCCACGGCGTGGGGTCGCGGGGAAAACAGAAGAAAACACAAGGAGGGGGGAGGAGGGGGAGAGGAGGGAGCGATGGTAACGCGCTACGCCTGCAAGGAGAAGCAACCGCCGTCTTGTCACAGCCCCCCGAGACCGTTACATAACGGCAGCAAGGAGCGCAGCGCTGCGCAACCCGCTGCGGTGCGGGGAGAGCTCCGCTCCCACCGGGGCACGGCACACGCACACAACCAAAAGCCTCCCCGTAGGGCTGCGCTGACCGAATGTAAATGATCAGCCAGCGCGCCGACACGGGGCGAGAGGACAAGATCCACCAGCCAAGCGTGACCGCTCAAAAAAAAAAATAGGAAAAAGAACATAAAAGAGGGACTTAGGAAGCGACCCTGCCTCAGTCCACTTACCACCGGCTCACCGAGGGAGCGACAGCTCCTGCCAGCCCAACCTGACTCTCGCCCCGACTCTGACGCGATCAGCAGCCAACCCCGAGCTGGCGCGGCGGCTCAGCCAGGCTCCTGCCCTCCCGGCAGCGGCATTGGCGAGCGCCCGGCACCGCCTACTCGCCCTCCTCTGCCGCTCGTCCCCATAGGACAGACGGGCTGTCCAGCTGGCGACCGCTCCCGCCTCCCACGGAGCGTGAGGTAATGAATTAACGTAGGGGCAGCTGCTGCCTTAAATGGATGGTTGTACGCTGTGCCGTCTCTCTTCGCCCTGCTCGTTACTCGGTGCTCGGCAGTAGGTGGGCAGGGAGGAGATGCCTTCCTTGCCGTTCCTCTTTTTAAGAGCTGGGACAGAGACGGATCGGTTGGCTGGATGTACTCGCATAAATCTACGTCGGGAAGCCTGGGAATCGAGGCCGGGTTCAGCACCTTCCGCCGTTTCTCCCGTCCCAAGGAAAATGCACATAGCAGGGGGGTGAAGCCAGATGATCGTTATGGTCCTTTTCAACCCAGGCCATTCTATGATCCCATGACCAGGGAGAAGCGTCAGTCTGCAAACCAAGTCTTGCAGGCGTTGTCAGCTTCTGGTTCTGATGGCTGACCAGTTGCACCTTAAACTGTGCTTGTTAACAAATAATAAACAACTAAAAATAAGTAACTAAAAAAAAAAAAAAAACAACTGGGCTGGGCTGTGCAATGCGGTAGGTGTTCCTCAAAACCTCGTGAGGACACTGGAAGTTTACTCTTTATGAAACTTGAGCTGCCCCAAGAAAGGTCCCTCCCTGCAACTGAGAGACAGATCAAGAGCTGTGCAGTTCTGAGTTAGAAACTGGTTTCAAAGGCAAAATGAGTGCAATACAGATTAACAATAAACAAGGTTTAGTAAGTAGTCCAGAGAAGAGAACTCACCTGGTGTTTAACGTACAGCTGATACTATATCATCTTCAATTTTCCCCAGTCCACACAGCTCAGAATATAATACGGTTTCTTTAATAGAAACCCATACTAACCACAACCCATGCTAAGACCGATGTTCTCTTTTAGTAGCATCACTCTTAGAAAAAACGTGCAGAATCAGAATTACCCAAGTTTGATTGTGATTGAATGTGGACAAATTTATTTGTGTTTCACCGTCCGCAATCAACGTGGACTTACCGAGGGGAAATCATGCTTGAACAGTCTGCCAGCCTTCTATGATGTCATGAGGAGCTGGGTAGGTTAGAAGAGAGCAGCAGTGTTACCTGCTTTGACTTCAGCAAGGCTATTGATACTGTCTCCTATAGCATCCTCACAGGTAACCTTAGGAAGTGTAGGATAGATGAGTGGAGAGTTCTCATGGAAACTGGCAGAACTTGAAGGGTCGTTGTCAGTGGTGCAGAATCTATTTGGAGGCCTGTAGCTAGCAGTGTTTCCCAGGGATTGGTACTGGGTCAAGTCTTGTTCAGCATCTTCACCAACGATCTGTGTGAAGGCATACAGTCCACCCCCAGCAAGTTTGCTGATGGTACAAAGCTGGGAGGAGCAGCTGGCACACCAGAAGGCTGTGCTGTTATTCAGTAACACCTGAATAGGCTGAAGAGTTGGGCAGAGAGAAACCTGATGAGAAGTAACAAGGGCAAGGGTAGGGTCCTTCACCTGGGAAGGAATAACTGCATGCATCAGTACCAGTTAGGATATGACCTGCTAGAGGTGAGCCCTGTGGAGTAGGTGTCCCAGTAGGTAACAGGTTATCCATAAGCCAGCAGTGTGCCCTTGTGTCCAAGAAGGCCAGTGATATTCTGGGGTGAATCAAAAAAAGAGTGGACAGCGCGTCCAGGGAGATGATCCTCTCCATCTACTCTGTCCTTGTGAGGCTACATCTGGAGTACTGTATCCAAGACTAGGCTCCCCGCTTCAAGAAAGATAGGGAACTACTCAAGAAAGTCCAGCCAAGAGCTACAAGGATGATTATGGGCCTGGATCATCTTCTTTATGAGGAAAGGTTCAGAAAGCTGAGACTGTTTAGCCTGGAAAAGAGGAGATTGAGGTGGGATCTTATCAGCACTTAGGAATATCTAAAGGGTGGATGTCAAGTGGATGGGGCCAGGCTGTTTTCTGTGGTGCTCAGCAAAAGGACAAGAGGCAATGGACACAAACTGGAAGACAGGGAGTTCCATCTGAAAATTAGGAAAAAACTTCTGTGAGGATGACAGAACACTGTAACAAGCTGTCAAGAGTGTCCTCTTCTGAAGATATTAAGAACCCACCTGGATGCTTTTCTGTGCATTCTACTCCAGAGAACTTGTTTTCGAAGGAGGGAGTTGGAGTAGATAATCTCCAGAGGTCCATTGTTATTATGCGATTCATGAAAGGAAGAGGGATGATCAAGCAAGGAAACTTTAATAAATCAGTCAGGTTCAATACACAAACAGGACTAATAGCCACATCTTAGAATCATAGAATCACAAGGTTGGAAAGGACCTACAAGATCATCTAGTCCAACTGTCCTTTCTACCACTAAGCTACTAAACCACATGTCGTAGCACTTCATCCAGATGCCTCTTGAACACTGCCTGGAATGGTGGCTCCACCACCTCCCTGAGCAGGCCATTCTGGTGCCTGACTACTCTTTGGGAGAAAAAGGTTTTCCTTATATCTAATCTAAATCACCCCAACTTGTGGTCATTTCCCCGGGTCCTGTTTGTTGCCTGGAGAAGAGGCCAAACCCCTCTTCATCACACAACCTCCCTTCAGGAGGTTGCAGAGTGCAGTGAGGTCTCCCCTGAGCCTCCTCCAGACTGAACAATCCCAGCTCCCGCAGCCACTCCTCGTAAGACTTGTGCTCCAGACCCCTCACCAGTTTCGTTGCCCTTCTCTGGACACGTTCCAGGGCCTCAGTGTCCTTCCTGCAGTGAGAGACCCAAAACTGAACACAGCACTCGAGGTGCAGCCTCACCAGTGCTGAGTACAGGGGATGCTCACCTCCCTGCTCCTGGTGGCCTCACCATTTCTAATGCAGGCCAGGATGCTGTTGGCCCTCTTGGCCACCTGGGCACACTGTCGGCTCATGTTCAGCCGAGCATCAACCAACACCCCCAGGTCCCTTTCCTTTTCACACTCATCCAGCCACTCATCACCAGGCCCATAGTGCTGCATGGGGTTGTTGTGCCCAAAGTGCAGGACCCAACACTTGGCCTTGTTGAACCTCATCCCATTCACCTCAGCCCAGCAATCCAGCCTGTCTAAATCCCTCTGAAGATCCTCCCTACCCTCTGGCAGATCAACACCACCTCCCAGCTTGGTGTCATCTGCAAACTTACTCAATGCCCTCATCTAGGTCATCAGTAAAGATATTAAACAAGATGAGCATTGTTAATGCTATTAAAAATATATTAACAGCAATAGGAGAACTGGATATAAAATCACTCCATTACCTGATGAGGATGGTCACCTCAAACACAGATCACAGATCACAGAATCACAGAATCACAGAATCACCCGGGTTGGAAGGGACCTCAAGGATCATGTAGTTCCAACCCCCCTGCCTAGCAGGGCCACCAATCATACTCATTCAGATCAGGTTGCCCAGGACCCCGTCCCACCTGGCCTTGAACACGTCCAAGGACGGGGCATCCACAACCTCCCTGGGCAGCCCGTTCCAGGGCCTAACCACTCTCCTTGTAAAGAACTTCCCCCTAACATCCAACCTAAATCTTCCCTCCTTCAACTTCGATCCATTTCCCCTAGTCCTGCTGTTGTCAGCCCTTTTGAAGAGTTTAATCCCCTCCTGGGTGTAGGTTCCCTTCAGGTATTGATAGGCTGCAATGAGGTCACCCCGCAGCCTTCTCTTCTCCAGGCTGAACAAGCCCAACTCCCTCAGCCTGTCCTCATAGGGGAGGTGCTCCAGCCCACTGATCATCTTAGTCGCCCTCCTCTGGACCCTTTCCAAAATCTCTCTGTCTTTCTTGTACTGAGGGCTCCACACCTGGACACAGTACTCCAGATGGAGCCTCACAAGAGCCGAGTAGAGAGGGACAATCACCTCCCTGTCCCTGCTGACCACCCCTCTCCTGATGGAGCCCAGGATCCCATTTGCCTTTCGAGCTGCCAGAGCGCACTGCTGGCTCATGTTCAGTCTCTCGTCCATCAGGACCCCCAGGTCCTTCTCTGCCGAGCTGCTCTCAAGGCCCACTCCTCCCAGCCTGTACGGGTGCCTGGGGTTCTTCCGGCCCAAATGCAAAACCTTGCACTTTGCCGTGTTGAACCTCATTAGGTTCACCCGAGCCCAGCCCTCCAGCCTGTCGAGGTCCCTCTGAATGGCCTCCCTTCCTTCCACCGTATCAACTGCACCACTCAGCTTGGTGTCGTCAGCAAACTTGCTGAGGGTGCACTCAATTCCCTCATCGATGTCATTAATAAAGATGTTAAAGAGCACCGGTCCCAAGACAGACCCTTGGGGGACACCACTTGTTACCGGCCTCCACCTGGACATAGAGCCATTGACCACCACCCTCTGTCTGCGGCCTTTCAACCAATTGCTTATCCATCGGGTCGTCCACCCATCAAATCCACTTCCCTCCAATTTGGAGATGAGGATGTGGTGGGGGACCATGTCAAAGGCCTTGCTCAGGTCCAGGTAAATGACATCAGTCGCCTTCCCTTCATCCACCAATGCCGTCACTCCATCATAGAAGGCCACAAGATTAGTTAGGCATGACCATCCTTTGGTGAAGCCGTGCTGGCTGTCTCAGATCACATGCTCATTCTTTATGTGATCAAGATGTTGTCCAGGAGGATCTGTTCCATGATCTTCCCAGGCACGGAGGTGAGACTCACCGGCCTGTAGTTCCCCGGGTCCTCCCTGCTCCCCTTCTTGTATATGGGAGTGACGTGACCCTTCCTCCAGTCATCCGGGACCTCACCTGACAGCCACGACTTCTCAAATATGATGGAGAGCGGCTCGGCAACCACCTCAGCCAGCTCCTTCAGGACCCTGGGATGCACGCCATCCGGCCCCATAGACCTGTATTCATTCAGTCTAAGGAGGCACTCTCGGACTTG